TTGCCCACCCCGAGGAATGTTCTAAACAGGAGGTCTTCGACCAGCCTGCCCACCCCAAGGAATGTTCTAAACAAGCGACCACCCAGCCCGAGGGCCTTAGTCATGGTGGGTGTTGGTCTTCACACTTGCCCACCCCAAGGAATGTTCTAACCAGGAGGTCTTCGACCAGCCTGCCCACCCCAAGGAATGTTCTAAACAAGCGACTTCCAAGTCAAACCATACCACACACATCCTGTCATCCAGATTATACTAACATTCCCAACATAAGAAAGTGTACAATAAAGCGAATAAAATCAGAAAAATCATTGAACTTCATTGTCTCTTGAGCAAACTTTGCAATTTACATCTTCGTTCGAATTTCCCAGCTTTCTTTTAAAAGAAACGAAAATTTTCACTCATAATATTTTTTCAAATTAGCTATGTTTCATGACCTGGCAAGCGATCGGCCCTCAGCATCCTTCAGCGAGTACGCTCCTCCTGCGTGCACTCGCTCGACCAGGTATAACCCTTCCCAATTCGGCTCCAGCTTTCCCACATGCTTGAGCACATCGACACGCTTCCAAACCAGGTCGCCTACTTGGAGTCTGCGAATTTTCACCTTTTTGTCGTGAGTGGCTCGCATCCTTTGCTTGTACGCCTCCACCCTGATTGCTGCTTTCCCGCACAGCTCCTCAATAGTATCTAAGGCCGGCATCATCATATCTTCGTTCTGTTCAGCATTATATGTGCTCGACCTCTGGGATGATAACTCGACCTCGACCGGCTGCAACGCTTCCATTCCATAAGCTAAGCTGAACGGGGTTTCTCCTGTTGTCGACCTCGGGGTTGTGCGATATGCCCAAAGTACAGAACTCAGCTCATCGACCCATGCTCCCGAGGCCTTCTCCAACTTTGTTCTCAACCCACTCAGTATAATTCGGTTGGTTACTTCAACCTGGCCATTGGCTTGCGGATGAGCAACGGAGGCAAAGTGTTGCTCGATTTTCATGTCTTCGCACCACGCTCAAATTCGCTTACCATTGAATTGGGTGCCGTTGTCGGAGATCAACACTTTGGGTACGCCAAACCGACAGAAAACGTTATTATATAGAAATTTAATTACTTTCTCCTCCGTAATCTTCGCTAAAGGCTCGGCTTCTACCCATTTTGTGAAATAATCGACCGCCACTATTAAGAACTTCCTCTGCCCGGTTCTCTGAGGCATCGGCCCCACCAGGTCGATACCCCACTGGGCGAATGGTATAGGGGCGCTCATCGTTGTCATTGCTTCTGCCGGTTGGTGAATAAGAGGACCATGTTTTTTGCATTGCAAGCACTTCTTCACCATCGCTTTCGCATCTTCCCTCATCGTTGGCAAAAAATATCCCGCCCTCAAAATCCTCGCGACCAAAGCCCCTGACTTGCTATGGTCACCACAGCATCCTTCGTGTATCTCTCTCAGCACATATTGAACCTCTTCCTTAGTAACACACCGCAAATGTGGTCCCCCATACGACCGTTTGTAAAGAATACCTCCATGCTAAAAAAACCTCCTCACCACCTTTATTGCTCCTTCTTTCAGCTCCTCCAAGATTGGGGCCCTCCAATCTTCCACTTCTTTGATCTCCGCCACTTCTGCTTCGACCATACTCTTTTCAAGATGCAATAAAGTAACACTTCTGCTCTTACAATCCACCAAGCTCTGAGCGATTTTTGATAGCAAGTCCGCCCGACTATTTTCTCCTCGAGGAATTTGTATCAGCTCGAATGAGTCGAACTCCTCCTTCAACTTCCTCATCTCATCTACATACTTTTGCATCCGGTCCTCCTTGACTTCAAACCCCTCCTGAAACTGCCCAACCACTAGTTGAGAATCAGAATGCACTTGTACTTTTCGAGCTCCTCCCGCCTTGGCTAAACTCAGGCCTTTGATTACTGCTTCATACTCGGCCTCATTACTGGATACTTTGAACCCCACTTTAGCTTCAAATTCCAAGTAATCGCCCTTAGGAGAAACAAGGATAATTCCCAATCCTGCCCCGCTTCGCGCCACAGATCCATCCACAAATAACTGCCATAATCCTCCTGACTCCTCCTCAACTTTCGTGCCCTCCTGGATAAAATTGGCCAACACCTGCGCATTTATGGCCCTCCTCGGCTCGTACAATAAAGAATACTCACTCAACTCGACCACCCATTTCACCAATCGACCAGAGACCGATGGTCGGCCAAGCGTTTCTCCCAACGTCATGTCTGTTCATACTCTCACTTTATGGTTCAAGAAATAAGGTCTCAACTTTCGAGCCGTTACGACCACGGGTAATGCATACTTCTCAATCTCCGAGTATCTCATCTCTGCCCCCTGCATCACCCTACTCACATAGTAGATGGGAAATTGCGGTACTCCTTCCTCCCGTAACAACACCGAGCTCACCGCCCTCTCTCCTATAGAAATGTATAACACCAACTCCTCGCCCTGTACGGGTTTAGCCAATAGGGGAAGGTTGGCTAACACCCCTCGCAACTCCTCGAAGGCCCCCTGCGCCTCCTCTGTCCATTGGAATTTTGCACTCTTCTTTAATGTTTTAAATAATGGGCCACTCTTCTCCGCCACCTGCGATATGAAACGACTCAGCCCCGCAATTCGACCAGCTAAGATCTGCACTTCTTTAACATTCGTCGGCGGCTTCATCTCCATTACAGCTCGAACTTTCTCAGGATTTACTTCAATACCTCTCTTGGTCACCAAGTAACCCAAGAACTTTCCCGACCTCACCCCGAAAGAGCACTTAGCAGGATTCAATTTCATCCCATATCTCCGCAATGTTAGGAATGTTTCTCTCAAGTCTCGCACATGATCCAACTCCTCCTTGCTTTTCACCAACATATCGTCCACATATACCTCCATGTTCCTTCCCAGTTGCTCCTTGAAAATTTTATCGACCAACCTTTGATATGTGGCACCCGCATTCTTTAGACCGAACGGCATGACCATGTAACAATTCGCATTCTTTTGATAACCCTGGGAGGCATCCATCAGGCTCAGCAATTCGCACCCTGCCGTTGAGTCGACCAGGTGGTCGATTCTGGACAGCGGGTATAGATCCTTTGGGCACGCTTTGTTCAGGTCACGGAAATCAATGCACATCCTCCATTTTCCCTCCGCCTTCGACACCATCACTGTATTTGACAACCATTCGGGGAACTGGATTTCCTTGATTTGCCCTGCTCCCAATAGCTTCTCGACCTCCTTCTTAATGATTTTGTCCATCTCCGCCCCATGGTGCCTTCTTTTTTGTTTCACCGGCCTCACACTGAGGTCGATGTTCAGCCGGTGTTCGATCACTTCCGCACTTATCCCCGTCAACTCCTCCGCTGTGTAGGCAAAAATGTCAGCGAACTCCCTGACTAGATCGATAAGCCTCGACCGAATAGGCTCCTCCAAGTCTTTCCCGATTCTGAACTTCCTCTCTTCACACCCCTCAATCATCTGAATCTCTTCCACCTCTCCCCCTGGCTGAATATCAATCTTCTCCTTACCCTTCTCCATTCTCTGTTTATCCTCTTTCGACCTCGACCCATCTGGTCGATTAATCCCCTCCTCCTCTGACTTGGCCTGCCTCTTCGCCAGTAGCTTATTATTGCTAACTGTCGTTTGGTAGCAGCTCCTCGAAGTGAGCTGGTCCCCGGCAATCTCCCCTATGTTTTCGCCCGCTGGATATTTAATCGTCATGTGGTACGTGGATACGACCGCCTGGAATGCATTCAAGCTCGTCCGCCCCATAATGATGTTATAAGATGATTCAGCTCCTACGACTACAAACCTCACCATGCGCACTTTCCTCAGCTCTCCCACTCCCAGCGCCACTGGCAAACTCACCTCGCCCATGGGCATCACATCTCCTCCGTTAAAGTCATAGAGTGCCGTGGTCACCGGTTTCAACTCCGTATTCAACTCCTTGTTAATTTGTACAAAACAGTCATAGAACATCACGTCCACCGAACTCCCAGTATCAATAAACACCCTTTTCACATCGAAGCCTGCAACCTCCGCGGTTATCACCAAAGCATCGTTGTGCGGCAGGACCACCCCTTCGGCATCCTCCGCCTTAAAACTTATCACCGACATGCGAGTCGTAATCCCCACCTCCTCTCTCTTCCTCTTCACAACTCGAGCATGCTCCTTCCTGGCCCTATTCAAGTCACCATCCATTGGCCCACCGGATATCATGTAAATCGTCCCTCTCTTCATCGGGGCTTCTCCTCCATGCCCTCCCTTATCGCCATCTTTCCTTGGCTTATTTCCTCGACCATCTCGACCATCTCCGCTATCTCCCTCCTCATCTCTATCACTCCTTTCCTCCGAGTCCTCCCTACACCTTCTCCTTCCTTTCCCTTTCACCCTATCGTGATACACGAACTCCTTCAAATGTCCTGCTCGAATCAACCTTTCAATCTCATCCTTCAAATGCCTGCAGTTCTCCGTGTTATGGCCGAAATCTCGATGAAATCGACAATATATATCCGATCTGGGCCGAGTTGGGCCTGTGAACCTTGTCTTCGGCCACGTTACACCCTCGATCGACATCTTCTGCTCCATGGCCTCGAGTAGCTCCGTCAAATCTTTCCTCAAGGGTGTAAAATTATGATACCTCTGTCTTTCGAACAACAACGGCCTTCCCTGCCACATCTTATCCCTTTTTTCTCGCTTCGAATCCCGACCTTCCCTCCTGGGTGATATCTTTTTCGACCCACTTCTTTTGGGCGAACTCCTTCTCGGCGACCTCCCTCTTGGTGGGCTTTGCTCCCTTTTTGGCTCTGGTCGAGCCGGCCCTTCCAGCTTCGCGAATTCTACCTCAATTTCTTCCAGATTAATATACTTCCTGCACCGCTTCAAGACCTCCTCATATGATCGAGCAGGGGTCTTTGCCAAGGAAGTTCGGCAAGGACCTGCTAGAAGACTTCTTATCAATCCTCCCGCCTTCAGCTCATGTGAAGCCGAATGCACCTCCAAACATGTCTGGTTATATCGAGCGACATACTTCCTCAATGATTCCTTCTCCCCCTGCCTCATCGCCATCAACGTCAAGTACGTTTTCTCATGCGCCACCGCGCTCGATTGATTGGTAAGCTTGCTGGCAAAATCCTCAAAATCCGCAATCGACCCAAAGGGCAACTGGTGAAACCATTCAAGGGCTCCTCCGTGTAAGGTCGATAGAAATGCCCTGCAACAAACAGAGTCAGAATATCCATGTAACACAGCCATATTTTCAAAGGTCCTCACATGCCTCGACGGGTCAGAAGACCCGTCATACACCAAGTTGGTCTCCTTGAAATTATTCGGCAAAGGAGCAGCGAGAATCTCCCTCGAAAAGGGATGTCCTCGAGCTCTCCTCTCTGGCCTCCCCTCCACCCTGTCCTGCAACTGGCGCAACTGCTCCGCCATCCTCTCCATCATCCGATCTCTTCCAACTCCTACCTCTCCATAACTGGACACATCCTCATCTTGGTTCTCGGCCACCTTGGTCGGCGCAGTGGTGGCATGAGACGTGTGGCTTGTAACCTGCTGCACCGCCTGCACCGCCGCGG